GGTCTCACTGGGTTGCCCAAGCTGGTCTTGAACTCCTGAGCTTAAGCGATATGCCTGCCTCAGCCTCCCAAAGGGCTAGGATTACAGACATGATCCACCACACCCAGCTGCTACTTTTTTTTTTCTTTTCTTTTCTTTTTTTTTTTTTTGAGACGGAGTCTCACTCTGTCACCAGGCTGGAGTGCAGTGGCACTATCTTGGCTCACTGTAACCTCTGCCTCCCAGGTTCAAATGATTCTCCTGCCTTAGCCTCCTGAGTAGTTGGGATGACAGGCGCCTGCCACCACGCCCAGCTAATTTTTTGTATTTTTAGTAGAGACAGGGTTTCACCATGTTGGCTGGGATGGTCTCGATTTCTTGACCTCGTGATCTGCCCACCTCAGCCTCCCAAAGTGCTGGGATTACAGGCGTGAGCCACCGCACCCATCCCAGCTGATACTTTTTAATTTTAACAGAAAGAACAGATCTGAACTCATATGCTTCTGGTAAAAATGAGTCAAGATGTATAAAGACAAAAGTTGACTAAACTATAAGAAGAAATTTATAAATTAACCATGATAGGAAGAGGCTTAAATATATATCTGTTAGTAATTGGTAAGTCAGTTGGACAAAAATTAGTAAGGAAATAGGGTATTTTAAAAACAAAATGAACAGCTTGATTTGTTATAACAAAACTAAAGAATATATAATTTTCTCAAGAGTACATGGCATGGTTTTAAAAACTGGTTACCCAATATTCCATAAAGCAAAAGTCAAAAAGTTTTATACGAGTTGTTATCATAGGGACAGTTTCTATAATTACAGTACAATTAGAGTACAAATTAGTAATAAAGAGATAAAAACATATGTGATGCAATTCTAAAACACAAAAGATTGAAAACAAGAAAATACAAATTGCACTATTCATAAACAGAAAACAATATGGTTGTCTACGAAGAAAGCCCAAGAGAATATACAGAAATTGTTGAAATTGATAGGAATTTCGTAAGACTGCTGAATCTTAGAATAACTGGATTCCTGTGAAGAACATGTTACCGTAAGAAAATGCTATAAAAACCACTTGCAAAAGCAATAAAGGGTATAATGGCTTGGAATCAAGATAACAAAAACATGCATGACTTCTGTGGAAAAGACATCATAAAACTTTATTAGAATTTAAGACCTAAATGCATGGAGATAGGACACACCACTACCATGCATAGGCAAACTAAGTATCTCTCCAAAAAATGCTTTCTTTGATTTAATCTAATTCCAAGAATATGCTGAATATTTGTTTGTTTATGTATTTATTTTTGACAAACTGGTTCTAAAATTTGTATGGAGAGACAATGGGGCACATATAGCTAAGAGAATTCTGAAAATGGAAACAGTGTCGGGAGACCAGCCCTACAGATGTGGAGACGTATCATGCCGCATCCTCGTTGCTGCTGTTTGGGGTTGCCAAAGGGTCGAGCACATGGAACAAAGATGCTCAGAGCCTAGGAGCTGCCAAAGTACATAATTCTGGATGATGAGGATGATGTTGTTTCCAGTCCCTTTTACCCAATTATTAAACGTGCTTGACCCAGTATTTTCCCCCCAGTTTTCGCAACAACCCAAAGTAGTTAAAGCTCTGTTTTACCTAAAAAAAAAAAAAAATCCACTGGAACACAACAGTAAAAATAATTTCTAGAGCATTAGGAACTATAAAAGATGGATTTGAAAACTCTCTTAATGTTTAAAACTGCTGGGAAAAATTACCATGCCTGTATATACTATGTTTGCAAATTTTGGCAAATAGAGAAGCAAGAAAAAACTGAGATATAACTCTAAAGTAGGCAGTTTTGAACAAGTCTGGTGACCGCACAATTAGTAATATCCTGCATAAAGCGTGGGCAAAGTTGGGCATGACCTGTACTAATAATAAAATTTTAAATAAGAATTGTTAGAAATTCCTATACATTCAGCAAGGTACATTGCAAATAATAAAATGAAAAAGACTATTACACTATTTGCCTTAATACAAACAACATGCATCATGATTTTATTTATGTATTTTCAGGACTCTGCATTCATTGTCAATGTTAAAAACAGAATTAACATTTAGTTGGCCAGGCGCGGTGGCTCACGCCTGTAATGCCAGCACTTTGGGAGGCTGAGGCGGGCAGATCACAAGGTCAGGAGATCAAGACCATGCTGGCCAACATGGTGAAACCCCATCTCTACTAAAAATAACAAAAATTAGCTGGGCATGGTGGCGTGTGCCTATAATCCCGGCTACTCGGGAGGCTGAGGCAGGAGAATCCCTTGAACCAGGGAGTCGGAGGCAGAGCGACACTCTGTCTCAGAAAACAAACAAACAAAAAAACAAAACACAAAAAAACAGAATTAACATTTAGTTTCTCCTACATTTAAAAAATGTCATTTTAAATTGGTTCCTTAAGATTCAAAGATCCATAAGAAATAACTAATACACTTATATTTTTACTATAGGATGTTTTTTCAAAACAGCAATCACAGGAATTAAAACATTTATATGTGATGTTACAAATAGGTTGATATTTAACACCAGAAATTAATTTGGTGTATTATCCTCACATTTATAATAAAACAAACGTCTAGGTTCACTCCCCTTATAATCTGGTGGTTCCTTCTACCTTGTTGGCCACTGGTGCCACAACACAGCTAGATAGTACTATGTTTGCAATAATCTATGGGCTTTCCTTAGGGGGAATCACAGGGGCTTACCTAAATAAAGCCATGCCATTTTATTTTGTCTGATTTTGGTAGCAACCTGATTCAATAAAACAATTTCTTTTAGGATATTCATTTTATATTTATTCCTGTCTTGCCAAATATACTGGTGATTTTATTAAAAATTTTAGGATAAAAACTTAACAATGCTAACTTTTCTATCTTAAATGAGTGTTCTGACACCTAAATAGAACAAGAATGGCTACTAAGTCATTCATATTTTTTGGTGCAAAGCTATTAGTTTGGGTCATATTAAATTGCTGACTTTTTGACCTGCAAAAGTGGTGGTTTCAGATGCTTCAGCCTGTATATCCTGGAGCGAGTGGTGGCTTTGTGATTGTTAGGAATTAAAACTTACTAAGCTCTACACAGATAAAGGATATCAGAAAGATAAACTAGATGAGCAACTATTTGTCCGTAAATCAGAAATACACATGTAATTGAAGTATTACAACACAATATATGAACAGCTTAAGAGCTGTAGAAAAATCGCCTTACTGTGTCCAGAGGGGATGTTGTTGGTCCAGCCAGCCCACCTGCCAGGTCTCTGGTTCCTATGCTAGTCCTTTTTGTGTTGGAACCACAGATACTAGTGTTCCCCTAAATATTTACTTACATGATGATATTATTGCTGTCATTATTATTGTTTGTAATATCCAGCAGATTTCCTGGGGGCATGAATGGTACTTATGTCCACATGCCCAACACACAGGGCCCAGCAAATACAAGATGTGCAGTAAGTGTCGAAGCACGGGTGGTGACAGTCATAGGCCAAGCACTTTCCCATGCATTATGCTACATAAAATAACTCTAAGAGTGCACTGTGGCCAGGCATGGTGGCTCACACCTGTAATCCCAGCACTTTGTGAGGCCAAGGCGGACGGATCACGAGGTCAGGAGATCAAGACCATCCTGGCTAACACAGTGAAACCTCATCTCTACTAAAAATACAAAAAATTAACCAGGTGTGGTGATGGGTGCCTGTAGTCCAAGCTACTCAGGAGGCTGAGGCAGGAGAATGGCATGAACCCAGGAGGTGGAACTTGCAGTGAGCTGAGATTGCGCCACTGCACTCCAGCCTGGGCAACAGAGCAAGGCTCCATCTCAAAAAAAAAAAAAAAAAAAAAAGAGTGCATCGTATCATACCTTCATCTTGCTCTTGAATCAGTATTTTTTTTTTGTTTTTAAATTTATAACATCAATGAGTAAGGAAATGCCTAAAAATCACAATAGGAATCTCTTAAGACTTTAGCAATAAAGTTCTGATAATTGAAATCTTAAATCTTCTCAGACAGGTGCTTTTATGGTGAAGGCAGATTGCTATTCCTCGCATGGTAACTGCATTTAAGTTTTATGCAGTGGCTACATTGGAAAGAGCAGTGGTGTGCTTAATTGCATGGAGAATGTAATCTCACACCTGCACCCATGACCACTTATTTTTCTGTGGTCAGGTTTATGAACAGTGAACACTGGTCCTCAGATGACCTCACTAAATACATTACTATGTTAGTAAGTGTTCACACGAGCAGTTTTATTTCCCTGCTATTATGGATGATGAAAAGAGTCAAATTCTGTAAAATATCTGAAGAGACTTATTCTGAGCCAAATGTGAGTGACCAATGGTCTGTGACACAACCGTCAGGAGATCCTGAGAGCATGTGCCCAAGGTCGTTGGGGCACATCCTAGTTTATACATTTAGGAAGACACGAGACTCGGTCAGATACATGTAAGATGTACATTGGTTCAGTCTGGAAAGGCAGCACGAAGCAGGGAAGGGGAGGCTTCCAGATTACGGGTAGATGGAACAATTTTCTGATTGCCAGTTGGTTGAAAGAGTTAAGTTATTAACTGGAAGACTTGGAGTCGGTAGAAAGGAATGTCTGGGTTATGATGACAAGGGGTTGTGGAGACCAAAGTTTATCATGCAGATGAAGCCTCCAGGTAGCAGGCTTCAGAGAGAAGAAATTGAAAATGTTTCTCAGCAGACTTAGTTTGTTCCACTGGTAATTCTGAAAGGGAGGAGGGTGTAATGAGGTACCCCCTGCCCCCCCATCACGGCCTGAACCAGTCCCTCAGGTTAGCCTCGGAATGCCCTTGCCCAGAGGAGGGGTCCATTCAGATGGCCAGTGGGCTTAGAATTATATTTTTGATTTACATTATGTATTTACAAATGTAACTTAATACTTCTTGAACTGCAATGAAAGGCTATTATTTGCTTATGTTGTTCAGAATAACATTAAGGTAGTTGTATTTGCTTCCTAAGGCCAGTGACACAGAAGTTCTTTCCCATGAGGAGCTCCTGCCAGTTACTCGGGTTGTGAGGATGGACACACACCGGCCATGTTCTGAAGCGGCTTACATGCTGGGGCCTCTGCTCTGCCAAAGGGACAGTAAGTAGTGGCAAGAGGAACTGTCTTGGCTCATTAATAATACATGTCATGTTTTATGGGAAAGTTAGCTGCATGGGTTAAAAACAACATTATATGCCCTGGTAATCTGTATTTCATTAGGAATAATTAACTTGAAAAAGCAATGTATCTTCTAATTGGGAAAAAAGTGATAAAAATTATATTACCTCTGGGTTATGTCTCTTCGATACAGTATTTAAATAAGACCACAGCTGTAAAGACTAATGGAATCATCTGAAATATTGTATCACTTGTTGGCAAGTGTTTTATCCATACCCACTTTACTGAAAGCTAAGATCGCTAAAATTGGTCAGCGAATGAGAAAATGCAAGGACACAGCCATCAGGCCTATTGGCTCGTTAGCACCTCTGGCAACTCTGCATGTTCACAGGGAAACCTCCATGACCTCAGCTCCCCCAAAACAGGCAGAATGAAACACATGTATTCTAGCTTTGATCTCGTCTCTCGTGAATATGCTCTATCCAGGACTTCTCTGTCATCACTCCCCAGAAGCTGGAAGAAAGAGCCACAGCCATGCCAGGAGTGGAGCCAGGGAGTGCAGGACACGGCAGCAGCAGCCACATAGGATGGGCTGTCTACACACAAGGTGGGTGTGCCCATGGAGCAGGTCGCAGAGAAACTGTGGGAGATCACAGACTACAGAGATCATTCTGGCATTTGGCACTCTAAGGAAAGTATAAGGCAGTTCTGTCTGATTATTTAAAACAGAATTGTTTCTGTCCCAAACCCATTTACTTTAGGAGGAGATAGGATTCCATTCTTGAGATGTCTTTGACTGCTTCTGTTGGATCTGGTGGCAGTCCTTTCTGCATTTCTCAGAGGATCATCAGTGCAACACCCTGAGGAAAGTATTAACGTAGAAATTACACAGTTCTACTGGAGATTCACCTTTATCCAAATCGAAGATGAAGCATTTTGGGGGCAATAATAGGATGTTAATTGTTAATCAGTTCTGGGTCCTGGGAATATGAGGGAGTTTAATTATCTATATTTTATATTCCTCTTTTAAAATCTTTAACATTTAAAAGTTTAAAAAAAACGTCAAAAATGCCATGATTATTTTATCTTGAGATATTTAAGGATTAGAGATACTTGAAAAATATACACAAAGCAAGAGTCTGGCATATACATATTCCTGATAGAAGCAAAACTGTGTCATTCCAGAGATTTTGACATGTTGAATGGCCACCGTGGTGATCTACAGTCTTCAAGAACAGTACACTTACACCTTCAGGAGGAACTCCAGCTTCCCTGCAGCTTTATTTCCTGAAGAGGTCATGCTGACCAGAGAGGCAGCCACACTGAGCTTCTGAACCACCGTCCCCGCAGCTTACAGCTCTACAAGAGCTCCTTCTGCGAGGAATACCTTCCAGTTGTTCTCACCTTAAATGGTGAGTGTCCTCAGCAAAAGATCAAGAGTGAGGCCAAATATTATGACCATAACAAGGTGGGGCCCTTCAGTGTTCAAACCACAAACAAGAAACTCGACAGCATTCCCTGCAACTGTCATTCTATTAGCATTGGTTTATTTTTCATTATAGCCCTAAATATTTATCAAAAAAGTTAAATTTTGGTGATTAAAATTAAGATACCTTTCTTCCATAAGATTTTGATCATTTTTATATATTTGATATGAAACTGTGCTTCCTGTTGCCAGAAGGCCTTTCCTTCTCTATATGAATAATCTAAATTGTTAATCAATTTAGTTTAAAATAAGAGCTATTATCTTATCTATGGAAATTATTTCCTCCTCCTAAACAAAGTAGTACTTAACCCGTATAAAAGCTGATATCCATGTGCATAGATACCCGCAGCTGCTCTTCATCCATCCGTAGCTGGGAAGTCGCTCGTGTCATCCCTGCATGAAACACAGAAGTGGAGCGGGAGTTACCCAGCCTGTGCCCCACCAGGGCTTTTTCAGGCGTGCACATTGGAGAACAAAACCAGCCTTCAACTTTGCCTCATGGCACATGAGAGGAGAAACTTCTGGAAGCACCTCCACACTCTCTGATAGGATCTGGCATAGGCAACAAGAGAGTTGTAAAGTCAAGAGTCTATCTGTGAAGGAGACCATTGTGTGGGTAAAGGGTTTAGATATTGTAGTAAACCACTTCTCTCTTTTCCATGTTCCTTGATTATAGCAGAAACATTAGGAAAGAAATCCTGGTTGTGCAACGAAAAACAAATTATACAAATGTCAGTAATACATGAAAATGCATTAAAATAAGTCACAGTGAAAGAAGTTATAAAAAATGTTTTCAAGGTTCATCTGTGTTGTAAGGGGTATCAGAACTTCACTCCTTTTCATGCCTAAATTATATTTTATTGTATGTATATACTACATTTTGTTTTTTGAGACGGAGTCTCGCTCTGTTGCTTAGCCTGGAGTGCAGTGGCACAATCTCGGCTCACTGCAAGTTTCACCTCCCGGGTTCATGCCATTCTCCTGCCTCAGCCTCCTGAGTAGCTGGGACTACAGGCGCCCATCACCACGCCCGGCTGATTTTTTTGTATTTTTAGTAGAGACAGGGTTTCACTATGTTAGCCAGGATGGTCTTGATCTCCTGACTTCGTGATCTGGCCATCTCGGCCTCCCAAAGTGCTAGGATTACAGGCATGAGCCACCGCGCCCAGCCTATACTACAGTTTTTATTTTTTTATTTATCTGGTTTTTAAAATTATACTTTATGTTCTAGGGTACATGTGCACAATGTGCAGGTTTGTTACATATGTATACATGTGCCATGTTGGTGTGCTGCACCCATTAACTGTCATTTACATTAGGTATATCTCCTAATGCT